GCCTGGAGGAAACAAAAATATGTTGCCTGTAGTTTCAAGAGTGAAAGTATTCTGGCCGGGCATGGTGGCTCATGCCTGTAACTCCAGTACTTTGGGAGGCCAAGACGGGTGGATCACTTGAGGCTAGGAATTGGAAACCAGCCTGACTGACAAAATTACAAAAAATCAGCTGGGTGTGGTGGCACACACCTGTAATCCCACTTACTATGGAGACTGAGGCAGAAGAATCACTTGAAACCAGGAAACAGAGGTTGCCGTGAGCCAGGATTGCATCACTGCACTCCAACCTTGGTGACAGCGCCAGACTCCATCTCAAACAAAACAAAACAAAAACAACAAAAAAGAATGAAATTATCCATTCAGAAAGACAGTAAGCCAAATGGCAACATGCCACCTTTTGGCAGGGTGAAGGTTTCTGGGGCACTTTCACTTACTTGATTTTTTTTTTTTCACAATGAGTATTACTTTTAAAAATCAGGCAAAAATGGCCAGGCGCGGTGGCTCACGCCTATAATCCCAGCACTTTGGCAGAGGTGGGTGGATCACCTGAGGTCAGAGGTTCACCTAGCTAACATGGTGAAACCCCATCTCTACTAAAAATATAAAAATTAGGGCTGGGGAAGTGGCTCACGCCGGTAATCCCAACACTTTGGGGGGCCCAGGTGGGCGGATCATGAGGTTAGGAGTTCAAGACCAGTCTGGCCAACATAGTAAAACCCGTCTCAACTAAAAATACAAAAAATTAGCTGGGTGTGGTGGTGTCTGCCTGTAATCCCAGCTACTTGGGAGGCGGAGGCAGGAGAATTGAATGAACCTGGAAGGCAGAGGTTGCAGTGAGCCGAGATCACACCATTGCACTCCAGCCCGGGGAACAGCGACACTCCGTCTCCAAAAAGACAAACAAACAAAAAACTACAAAAATCAGCCAGGCATGGTGGCACGTGCCTATAATCCCAGCTACTCAGGAGGCTGAGGCAAGAGAATTGCTTGAACCCAGGACACGAAGGTTGCAGTGAGCTGAGATCACTCCACTGCACTCCAGCCTAAGAAAATTTTGAATTAAGAAACTTTTAATAACCTTTATATGTCTGTTACATTTTTTGAAATATATGAAAACAAGCAAACTCAATATTGTTGGGTAAAAGATAAATTGATGTAATACTGGAATACAGATTTAGAGTCCTAAAATTATTCATACCCTTTAGCCCACTAATTCCATTTGCAGGATTAAACTCAAGGAAATGACCAGAAAGAAAAGAAGTAGTGTGTACAAAGATGGTCATAGAAATGCTATTTATAAAACTGGAAAATTGGAAAGATCTCAAATGTCCAACAATAGAGGTAAGGCTGAGCAAACTGGTACATTGTCAAGATAGAAAACTCTGAAACACTAATATGTGAACTAGGTGGACACACGGAAGTAGTGGCTGAAGTTTAATAAAAAGCCAACAAAATCTTTACGTAGGTGGTGGTCCTCAGAAAGCAATACCCTAAAGACTGTGGTTTGACATGCTGAGAAGGCTTAGAAGCTGCCCCGGAGTCCCTCAAACCTTGTCTTGTCCTCTGCACTCCAAGTGCAGGGAGGGACTCTCTCTGGGATTTCCTTGTCTGATCAAGAGAACTTCTTTCCAAAAGAAACACAATTTGGAGCCTGAACAGTGGTTCACGCCTATAATCTCAGCATTTAGGGAAGCTGAGATGGGTAGATCACTTGAGGTCAGGGGTTTGAGACCAGCCTGGCCAACATGCTGAAATCTTGTTTCTACTAAAAAAACAAAAATCAGTGGGGCACAGTAGCAAGCTACTCAGGAGGCTGAGGTAGGAGAATCGCTTGAACCCGGGAGGCAGAGGTTGCACTGAGCTGAGATCATGCCACTGCACTCCAGCCTGGGTGAGTGAGACTCCATCTCAAAAAAAAAAAAGGAAAAAAAGAAACACAATTGCCTTCCTCCCCTGGCTGAAATCTCATTATCTATCTCAGAAAAGACAGAAATTGAACCACACCTGGAGGGACTTTTTCACAAAGAGGATCATTTAGAAGTTAATTACTGGGTATTTATTCTCCCTAATAATCCTTTGGTCAGGCACTGTAGCTCATGTCTGTAATCCCAGCACATTGGGAGACCAAGACAGATGGATCACCTGATCACAGGAGTTTGAGACTAGACTGGGCAACACAGTGAAACACCCATCTCAAAAAATTAAATTAAATTAAAATAGAAACAAACAAAAAAACATCAGTGGCATGACCTGGCACGGTGGTTCACGTGTAATCCCAGCACTTTGGGAGGGCAAGAGGGACGGATCACCAGAGGTCAGGAGTTTGAGACCAGCCTGGCCAACATGGTGAAAACTTGTCTCTACTGAAAATACAAAAAAATTAGCTGGGCCTGATGGCATGTACCTATAATCCCAGCTACTTGGGAGACTGAGGCATGAGAATCACTTGAACTGGGGAGGTGGAGGTTGCAGTGAGCCAAGATAGTGCCACTGCACTCCAGCCTGGGCAACACAGCAAGCAAGACTGTGTCTCAAAAATGAACAAACAAACAAACAAAACAAATCATTTGCTGCCCCTCAAATGAATTGTCTACAGTCTCTATCTCCCCTCTCCCCTTTGAAAAAGAAGAGTATGTAGGCCTGCCTGGTGGCTCACACCTATAATCTGAGCACTTTGGGAGGCTGAGGTGGGAGCATCCCCTGAGCCCAGGAGTTCAAGACTAGCCTGGACAACATAGCGAGACTCTGTCTCTATTTCGATGTTTTTTAAAAACTTCTGTAAGCTTCTGTGCTCGGGGTTGTGTTACCGGGTACTCATTCTGCGAGTCCATGCTATGCACACTAAAATAAAATTGTGTATGTCTTTTCTCCTATTAATCTGACTTTTGTCAGCTGATTTTAGCAAGCCTTCAAAGGGCAAAGGGAAAGTTTTTCCTTGGCCCTTCACATAGACATACAGCTAATGCAAAATGGATATATGAATTAACAAAGATCGGAAAACAATATATGGAGTACTGGGCAGGCCAGGTGGCTCACACCTGTAATCCCAGAACTTTGGGAGGTCAAGGCAGGAGGATCACTTGAGCCCAGGAGTTTGAGACCTTGTCTTTACAAAAAAATTAAAAAAAAAAAAAAAACCTGGCATGGTAGTGCATGCCTGGGCCCAAGGAGCATCATTTAGGCCCAGGAGGTCAAGGCTGCAATGAGCTGTGAGTGCACCACTGGACTCCAGTGAAACCTTGTCTTAAAAAAAAAAGTGCATAAAAAAAAATAATAAAAAAGGCCAGGCACAGTGGCTCACGTCTGTAATCCCAACACTTTGGGAGGCCAAGGTGGGTGGATCACCCGAGGTCAGGAGTTAGAGACCAGCCTGACCAATATGGTGAAACCCCATCTCTATAAAAAAAAAAATTTAAAAAGTGTGTATGCATATATATATATAGAGAGAGACAGACAGATATACACGCACACACACACATACACACAAAGGGTTATAAATAGTTATAGATTAAATTTGTTCTTTTGTTAAGAGATGGGATTTCACCATCTTGCCTAGGCTAGTTTTTGTTTTGTTTTGTTTTGTTTTGTTTTGAGATGGAGTCTTGCTCTGTTGCCCAGGCTGGAGTGCAGTGGTGCGATCACTGTAATCTCTGCCTCTCGAGTTCAAGCGATCCTCTTGCCTCAGCCTCTCAAGTAGCTGGGATTACGGGTACATGCCATCATGCCTGGCTAATTTTTGTATTTTTAGTAGAGATGGGGTTTTAGCATGTTGGCTAGGGTGGTCTTGAACTCCTGACCTCAAGTGATCCACCCACCTCAGCCTTCGTGGGGAACATCTAGGGCCCGAGTGTAGTGGAATCAACTATTGGGCTTATTCTCTTAAATGCCTGTGCCTGAGTACCCCATTGTTCTCCCAAGACAGCAGTGCAGTTTCACACCCACAGAAATAATGGGTGCATTAGCATTCTGGGAATAGTTTGTAATTAATGATATCAAATCAGTCATTTTAAAAAAATGGGTGCAGTAATGGGTATACCAGAACAAAAGGAAATGACAGATTGATAGAGGACATCTTTTCTCTTTTTTTTTTCCTTTGAGACCAAGTCTCGCTCTGTCAACCAGGCTAGAGTGCGATGGGGCAATCTTGGTTCACTGCAACCTCTGCCTTCTGAGTTCAAGCGATTCTCCAGCCTCAGCCCCAGTAGCTGGGATTACAGGAGTGTGCCACCAAGTCTGGCTAATTTTTGTATTTTTAGTAGAGATGAGGTTTTACCACGTTGGTCAGACTGTTCTTGAATTCCTCACCTGGTGATCCACCCACCTCAGCCTCCCAAAGTGCTGGGGTTACAAGCGTGAGCCACCGCGCCCGGCCTTCCCTTTTTATGCCAAAATGATGGGATACACTTATATGGTTATTTGCATTACCACCAAAGAAAAATTCCACGCAGAATGGAAGGGTTAATTTATTTAAAAATAAGAACAATCTCAAACATACCAAGAAGCATAAAAGATAATGTAATAAACACCCATATAATCAATACCCAGATTTAACCAATGTAAATATTTGGAAATCTCTTTTGCATCCCTCCACAATCCTATTCATTTCCTTTGCTTCTCAGAGGAAAAACAATTTGAATCTTGGTATGTGTTGTGCCCTTTAATTTGGAAATCTTTTTATAGGGAAGAAGTTTATTCATATAGCCCTAACTCTTTTGCAATCATTTAAAAAAAAAATTTTAAGACAACAAAACAAACCAACAACAACAAAAGAGGGCTGGGCACATGACTCATGTTTTTAACCCCAGCACTTTGGGAGGCTGAGGTGGGAGAATCCCTTGAGCCTAAGAGTTTGAGACCAGCCTAGGCAACATGATGAGACCCCTATCTATACAAAAATAAAAATAAAATTTTTTATTTTCTTTTTTTTTAGAGATGGGGTGTCACCATGTTGACCAGGCTGGTCTCGAACTCCTGACCTCAGGTGAATCACCCATCTCAGCCTCCCAAAGTGCTGGGATTACAGGCGTGAGCCACTTCACCCAGCCTTTATTTTTTTCCTTTACCTCATCTCTGAGAGCCAAAAATAAAAATAAAATTAGCACCTGGCCAACATGGTGAAACCTTGTCTCTACTATAAACACAAAAATTAGTCAGGCATGGTGGTGGGCGCCTGTTGTCTCAGCTACTCAGGAGGCTGAGGCACAAGAATCGCTTGAGTCCAGGAGGCAGAGGTTGCAGTGAGCCAAGATCATGCCATTGTACTCCAGCCTAGGCGACAGAGGGAGACACTGTCTCAAAAAAAAAAAGAAAAAAAAAAAAAAATAGCCAAGCATGGTGGCATGTACCTGTAGTCCCAACTGCTCCAGGAGGCTGAGGTGGGAGGACCGCTTGAGCCCAGGTGGTCGAGGCTACAGTGAGCTATGGTCATGCCCACTACACTCCAGCCTGGGTGACAGTTAGAGGCCCTGTCTCAAAAATAAAAAAAGAAAGAAAAATATTTTTACCATGTAAGTCTCCATGTAAGTATAAATCCATAAATAATATAGAATGTCATTTTATTTTAAAACTGAAAGAGATAGCATCATAAATAGCATCATAATGTATATACCATACTGCAAATTTTTTTTTTCACGTAACGTTGCTTTTGAAATACATCAGGTTAGCAAATGTAGTTGTAATTAATTTTGTGTCAATGGCCACATGGTAATTTTTTTTTATAATAGGGACTGGTTTCACCATGTTGCCCAGGCTAGTCTCAAACACCCGGGCTCAAATGATTTGGCTGCCTTGGCCTCCCAAAGTGCAGGGATTACAGTTTCGAGCCACCACACCCTTGCCTTGGTTTTTTTGTTGTTGTGGTTGTTGTTATTGTTGTTTGTTTTTTGAGACGGAGTCTTGCTCTGTTGCCCAGACTGGAGTATAGTGGCACGATCTCGACTTGCTGCAACCTCCTCCTCCAGGTTCAAGCAATTCTCCCTGCCTTGGCCTTCCAAGTAGCAGGGATTACAGGCACCCACCATCACACCCACCTCATATTTGTATATTTAGTAGAAACAGGGTTTCGCCATGTTGGCCAGACTGGTCTCAAACTCCTGACCTCAGGTGATCCACCCACGTTGGCCTCCCAAAGTGCTGGGATTACAGGTGTGAGCCACCGCCCTGGCCTGTTTTTTAATTATTAATTTTTTTATAAAGTATTTTAAAAATACAAAAGATAAAATATTATAATGAATACTCAGGTACTCAACACCCAACTTCATCATCTATTACAATCATGCTGTGTAGTGCCATATTAATTAAGATTTTATTTTTTTTCTTTCTCTTTCCCCAAATAGATTTTGTTTTTAAAGAAACAACACTTGGCCGGGCGCGGTGGCTCAAGCCTGTAATCCCAGCACTTTGGGAGGCCGAGGCGGGTGGATCACGAGGTCAAGAGATCGAGACCATCCTGGTCAACATGGTGAAACCCCGTCTCTACTAAAAATACAAAAAAAAAAAAAAAAAAAGAAACAACACTTACAGATATAGTTGTGGCCCCTGAATCCCTTACCCTGAGCTTAGTCCTCACCCTTCCTTTGTAGACACCATGAGGAATTCAGTGTTTAAAATTTCTATATTTTTTCTGTGAATATTTTAATACTTTTCTTACTTTTTAATCTATAAACAATATATAGTTGTGCTTCAAATATTTAAAAATTTTATAGAAATAATACACATACCTCTTTTTTTTCTTGAGATGGGATCTCTCTGTGTTTCCCAGGCTGGTCTCAAACTCTTGAGTTCAAGGGATCATCCCTCCTCAACCTCTCAACAGTGTTGAGATTACATGCATGAGCCACCATGCCCGGCCTACATGCTTTTTTCTGTTTTTTTTTTTTGTTTGTGTGTGTGTGTGTGTGTGTGTGTGTGTGTTTTTCACTTAACATCATGTTTCTGAGAATTAACCATGTTGAAAGATGGCAAATTTAGTTTTTCACAGATGTCTTATTAGTTCGTTCATTTTCTTTTTTTTTTTTTTTAAGACGGGTTTTCACTGTATTGGTCAGGTTGATCTTGAACTCCTGACCTTGTGATCCACTCACCTTGGCCTCCCAAAGTGCTTGGATTACAGGCGTGAGTCACCGTGCCCTGCCAGTTCGTTCATTTTCATTTCTGAATTTTTTTTTATTGTAGGGACTATCCTACATACATTTATTGATTACTATATGATGAAAATTGAGGTTGTTTCCAGATTTTTACTATTATAAATAATATTACTATTGGTTGAAGTCTATCTCAATGGAGATTTTCCTATAGCTGCATGTCGTTGTAAACTCCTCATAAAGTAACTGTGGTTTTGCTTTACTCACAGGACTATTTGTTAGATTTGTGGGAAAGAACTATAAGACAGTTGCTAAAAATATGAAAGACCTAATAATTTCTCTTTTACTGTAGATACTGGCATATTCCACAGATCTGTACTATTATTCTTGAGTGTGATAGCTTAGAAATGAATATGATTGAAATATCATGTTTAGAGAGGGTGTCAAATTGAGAACCAGGCAGATCCACCTACTCTAAAAATTACCCTAAAGTAAATTGGTCGTAGAAATTAGATTCCAGGCCGAGTACAGCAGCTCACACCTATATCCCAGCACTTTGGGAGGCTGAAGTGGGCGGATTACGAGATCAAGAGATCGAGACTATCCTGGCTAACACGGTGAAACCCCAATTCTACTAAAAAAAAAAAAGAAAAAAAAATTAGCTGGATGTGGTGACACATGCCTGTAGTCCCAGCTACTCGGGAGGCCAAGGCAGGAGAATCACTTGAACCCAGGAGGCAGAGGTTGCAGTGAGCAGAGATCACGCTACCGTACTTCAGCCTGGAGGACAGAGTGAAACTCCATCTCAAAAAAGAAAGAAAGAAAGAAAGAAAGAAATTAGATCCCAAAGATTCTTGATTTTTCCACAGGTAAATTTTGAAGCCTTCATGAATATGTTCATATAAAAAGGAGATGAAAGAAGTCAAAATAAAAGAATTATGGGCTCACAGGATGACTGGATTAAGCATTAGTTCTATTAAAAAGGGCTAATTTGAAGATAAATCTATTGAAAATAACTTTTGACTTTAGCTATTTAGAGGAACTAAAGGGACCTTGATGGACAGTGAAAGGAATCACAACATCAAATTTCTTTTTTTTTTTTTGTAAAATATAAATAAAAAATAAAAAATTTTTTATGGAACGCTTCACGAATTTGCGGGTCATCCTTGTGCAGGGGCCATGCTAATCTTCTCTGTATCGTTCCAATTTTAGTATATGTGCTGCTGAAGCGAGCATAACATCAAATTTCTTGAATAAAAATTTATTGACTTAATAATTAATATTACTATGAACCTTATGGCAGACATGGAGAGGCACAGCCAAGATCCTCTTTCAAGGAAAGTGTTATTGTCTCAACGCTGCAACTGCTGACAGTGCTGTCAGTGCACAACATTGATTCAGCTTTCAGTCCCTTTAGAGGATCACTTCAGTTTCACCTAAGGCTTACCCTTCCAAGGACAACCCATATCCCATGACTGGGCAAATGCATAAACACCTGGCCCATTGTAGGAGTGGCTTAACTCCACAGCTGCTTACAGAGTCAGTGCTTTTGGGCCCCCATCACAGCATGGTGTCTTCATCTTCCCTCTTCGCTCCTTCCCATTCTTTTCCACAAAAGGCACACTCTAGTAAACGACCTGTCCATTAAATTCCGTAAACATTAACAGATTAATAAAGAAAAATACGATTATCTCAATATATGCTACAAGCTACTCTGTGGGAGAGAGAGGCCATATGGAGGAGTATGGAAGCCCCAGATACGTGAGCGAATAAGCCATATTGGATGTCCAGCCTGATCAAGCCCCAAGTGAGAACCACCCAAGCAAGCCCAGTCCCACCCAAGCAAGCCCAGAACCACCAAGCAAGCCCTACAGAGACAAGAGAGATGATAATAAATCATTGTTTTTGCATCACTTTAAATCTTAGGATGGCTTGTTACAAAGTAGTATATGAGGTGGATCCAAGATGGCCGTTTAGAAACAGCTCAGGATTGCAGCTCCCAGTGAAAGCACAGAGGGTGAGTGGACGCCGCATTTTTATTGCCCACAGACTAGGAAATTCCCTGGCAGAGGAGCTCCACGGGTCACCAGCGCAGCTGTTTCGGCCAGCGCAGCTGTGCCGGCCGGCGCCGCTGTTTTGCCCCACGCGGCTGCTTTGTCAGCGCCCTGGCGCAGCGGTTCTCCATACAAAGTACACTGGTCTGGGTGCCCTTTTGGCTGGCGATTGGAGCCACGGGAAGTCGCCCATTCATCTGTTTAAAAAAGGGACTGAACAGGGAACCAGGACAGTAGATTCCAGGGCAAAAAAAGCTCCACAAATCTCAGTGCTGCTGTTTAAGCCAGCGCAGTGAGTCGCCACATGGGAAAACACACAGATCCCGGCACCTCTTCAACAGGCGACTGGAACACCAACTTAAAAAAAAAAAAAAGGCTCTGAGGCAGGGAGCCAGGCGATCAGGCTCGGCTGGTCCCACCCCCACAAAAGAACAGCAATCAGAAACTCTCTGGATTGAGAGTTTCACAGCAAGCGCAGCTGAACCCAGGACGGTCCAGCTCTGTGGGGGGAGGGGCGTCCGCCATTACTGAGGCAGCCCGCCACTACAGAGGTAGTCAGTCAATGCTGAGGCAGCCCACCATTGCCAAGGTAACCTGCCATTGCTGAGGCAGCCCGCCATTGCCAAGGCAACCCGCCACTACAGAGAGACTCAGCCTTAACAGAGGTGGTCCACCATTGCTGAGGCAGTTTTAACTACACCCATATAAACAGGACTGCAGGGAAGTTCACTCGGCAGCTGGGTGGCGCCCACAGCAGCTCAGCAAAGCCTCTACAGGCAGACAGTGACTAGGCTGCCTCCTTGCTGGGCAGGGAAGCTCTGAAGGAAAAAAAAAGAAGGCAGCAACATAACGGAAACTCATAAATAAAGCCCTAAATCCCTGGGACAGAGCACCTGGGAACAAAAAGCAGTTTATGAGTTCAGCTACAGCAGACCTAAACGTACCTGCCCAGCAGCTCTGAATGAACAACGGAGCTCACAGCTCAGCACTTGAGCTCCTATAAAGAACAGACTGTCTCCTCAAGCAGTTCCCTGACCCCTGTATATCCAAAGAGCCACCTCATAAAGGAGAGATCAGACTGACATTTGGCGGGTATCCTTCTGGGACAAAGATAGCAGAAGAAGAAAACTGGTAACAACCCTTACTGTTCTGCACCTGCTGCAGGTGATCCCCAGGCAAGCAGGGCCGGGAGTGGACCTCAGCAGACCTACAGCAGAGGGGCCAGACTGTCAGAAGGAAAACTAAGAAACAGAAATAACCTCATCATCAACAAACAGAACGTCCACTCAGAGACCCAATCTGAAAGCCAGCAACTACAAAGACGATAGATGGATAAATCCATAAGGATGGGAAGAAACCAGCGCAAAAAGGATGAAGACACCTGAAACCAGAACACCTCTCCTCCTACAAGGGATCACAACTCCTCACCAGCAAGGGAACAAGGTTGGATGGAGAACGAGTGTGATGAAATGACAGAATCAGACTTCAGAAGGTGGGTAGTAAGAAACTTCTGTGAACTAAAAGAACATGTTCTAACCCAATGCAAAGAAACTAAGAACCTTGAAAAAAGATTTAATGAAATGCTAACGAGAATGGACAAAATAGACAGGAATATAAGTGAATTAATGGAGCTGAAAAACACAACACGAGAACTTTGCAAAGCATGCACAAGTATCAACAGCTGAATTGACCAAGCAGAAGAAAGGATATCAGAGGTCGAAGATCAACTCAATGAAATAAAACGGGAAGGCAAGAATAGAGAAAAAAGGGTAAAAAGGAATGAACAAAGTCTCCAAGAAATGTGGGACTATGTGAACAGACCTAATCTACATTTGATAGGTGTACCTGAATGCGACGAAGAGCATGAATCCAAGCTGGAAAATACTCTTCAGGATATTATCCAGGAAAACTTCCCCAACCTAGCAAGGCAGGCAAATATTCAAGTCCAGGAAATACAGAGAACACCACAAAGATATTCCTCAAGAGGAGCAACCCCAAGGCACATAATTGTCAGATTCACCAGGGTTGAAATGAAGGAGAAAATACTAAGGGCAGCCAGAGAGAAAGGTCGGGTTACCCACAAAGGGAAGCCCATCAGACTGACAGCAGATCTCTCAGCAGAAACCCTACAAGCCAGAAGAGAGTGGGGGCCAATATTCAACATCCTTAAAGAAAAGAACTTTCAACCCAGAATCTCCTATTCAGCCAAACTAAGCTTCATAAGTGAAGGAAAAATAAAATCCTTTGTGAACATGTAAGTACTCAGAGATTTTGTCACCACCAGGCCAGCTTTACAAGAGCTCCTGAAAGAGGCTCTACACATATAATGTAACAACCAGTACCAACCACTCCAAAAACATGCCAAATGGTAAAGAGAATCAACACAATGAAGAATCTGCCTCAACTAATGGGCAAAACAGCCAGCTAGCGCCAAAATGGCAGTATCAAATTCACATATAACAATATTAACCCTAAATGTAAATGGACTAAATGCCCCAATCAAAAAACACAGACTGGTAAATTGGATAAAAAGCCAAAACCCATTGGTGTGCTGTATCCAGGAAACCCATCTCACGTGCAAGGATACACAAAGGCTCAAAATAAAGGGATGGAGGAAGATTTACCAAGCAAGTGGAGAGCAAAAAAAAGCAGGAGTTGCAATTCTCATCTATGATAAATTAGACTTTAAAGCAACAAAGATCAAAAGAGACAAAGAAGGACAATTACATAATGGTAAAAGGATCAATGCAACAAGAAGAGCTAACGATCCTAAATACATACGCACCCAACACAGGAGCACCCAGATACATAAGGCAAGTTCTTAATGACTTACAAAGAGACTTAGATTCCCACTCAGTTATAGTGGGAGACTTTAACACCCCATTGTCAATATTAGACAGATCAACCAGACAGAAAATTAACAAGGATATCCAGGACTTGAACTCAGACCTGGACCAAGCAAACCTAATAGACATTTACAGAACTCTCCACCCCAAATCCACAGAATATACATTCTTCTCAGCACCACATCATACCTACTCTAAAATTGACCACACAATTGGGAGTAAATCACTCCTCAGCAAATGCAAAAGAATGGAAATCATAACAAACAGTCTCTCAGACCACAGTGCAATCAAGTTAGAACTCAGAATTCAAAAACTAACCCAGAACTGCACAGCTTCATGGAAACTGAACAACTTGCTCTTGAATGTTGACTGGATAAACAATGAAATGAAGGCAGAAATAAAGATGTTCTTCGAAACCAACGAGAATGAAGACACAACATACCAGAATCTCTGGGACACATTTAAAGCAGTCTCTAGAGGAAACTATATGGCAATAAGTGGCCACATGAGAAGCAAGGAGAGATCAAAAATTGGCACCCTATCGTCAAAATTGAAAGAGCTAGAGGAGCAAGATCAAAAAAACTTAAAGTCTAGCAGTAGACAAGAAATAGCTAAGATCAAAGCAGAACAGAAGGAGATAGAGACACAAAAACCCTTCAAAAAATCAATAAATTCAGGAGCTGGTTTTTTGAAAAGATCAGCAAAATAGACAGGCCACTAGCCAGATTAATAAAAAAGAAAAGAGAGAATAACCAAATTGATGCAATAAAAAACGATAAAGGGGATATCACCACAGACTCCACAGAAATTCCAACCATCATCAGAGATTATTACAAACAACTATATGCACATAAACTAGTAAACCTGGAAGAAATGGATAAATTCCTGGACACTTGCCTCCTCCCAAGCCTAAACCAGGAAGAAGCTGAAACACTGAACAGACCCATAACAAGGTCTGAAGTTGAGGCAGCAATTAAGAGCTTACCACCCAAAAAAAGCCCAGGTCCAGACAGGTTCACAGCCGAATTCTACCAGACATACACAGAGGAGCTGGTACCATTCCTTCTGAAACTATTCCAAACAATACAAAAAGAGGGAATTCTTCACAAATCATTTTATGACACCAACATCATCCTGATTCCAAAACCCGGCAGAGACTCAACAAGAAAAGAAAACTTCAGGCCAATATCCATGATGAACATAGATGCAAAAATCTTCAATAAAATACTGGCAAGCCAATTGCAACAGCACATCAAAAATCTTATCCACCATGATCAAGTAGGCTTCATCCCGGGGATGCAAGGCTGGTTCAACATACGCAAGTCTATAAACGTAA